ACATGTCAGTGTATTTCCATTTTAACCACAAAACCTCGAGGTTCAAAGAGGAAGACCCTTTTTTTTTTTTTTTGGTTATGAGTGGTTCTGCAGGGGAATTCATACCACCTGCGACTTTTCATCTTGCTCTCTCTCTCCAACCTTGTTCAACCCTTGCCTCCGGGCCCCGAGAGCTCTCTCTCCTTGCCCCACAATACTTTGCTATGCGGCCTCTCAGTTGGCCATGCCGAGTTCCATCTTTATACACACACATCTTGTGCTCGTACCCCCCTTCTCCTTCCATGGCTACTCACCTAGTATTGTTCGGGGTTCAGCCCAACAGGCCTCCTTGAAGCCTCGTGAGTAGATGCCCCATGGAACTGATGGCGTCCTTCCTACTTTGCTCAGAAGTACCTAGAACACTCAGTTGGCATTGTGGATTCGTGTTTGTCTCCACTTACCAGATTTACCTCTAAAACCCCAGGTTTTGGCACCAAGAAGATCACATAGTAGGTGCTCAGCGGTACTTGTGAAGTACATGGCTGAATAGCCAGTGTTGGGGCAGGCTGAGAATGAATAGGCTTCCAGCCCAGACTTTATTTATTTATTTATTTATGTTTATGATTTTATTTATTTATTTGAGAGGAATTGAGAGCAGAGGAGTAGGGCGGGGCCCGGCAAGGTGCTCCCAGCTGAGTGCAAACCCCACCCAGGGCTCAGTGTCATAACCCTGAGTTCATGACCTGAACCCAAACCAAGAGTTGGATGCTTAACCCACTGAGCCACCCAGGCACCCCTCAGCCACAGACTCTAAATGGAACCAAGTGTTTCTCTAAATTGGTTCTACTCTAAAGAACTAAAACTGAGATACTGAAGCACTTAGAAAGAGCCAGAATTCATTCTATTCTCTAGAACATGTAAAATGTAACTATTTTTCAGACCCAGTATTTAAGGGGGAAAGGTTAGGTTGGCTTCCAGGCCTGTGGATCCAAAAAGACAATTGGTAACAACCAGTTGGCCTTTTGCCAGCTTTGACTCTGACCCCGTGCCTGTCCTCTCTCCTGGTTAAAGGGCAAGAAGAAGGTGTAGAAACACAACAGGGAACTCCAGTGCATTTTTCAGGATTGGCAGCTTCCGTGACCATGAGGGCTTGGAGGAGTTCCGTATTGTTGGTGTAGGTCACAGTTTGTGTCTTCATTACAGACTTCCATCACTCACTGATTGACTTCTTCCTCCCCCTAACATTTCCCCGAGGTGTGATAATCTGTAAACACACTATATATTAAGAGCATGCACAGTTCTGGGAAAGCTCCATCTTCCTTCTTTTTTCTCAAAGGCGGTTTTTTCCAAGGGGCCCATTTTAACCCACCATCATTGTTGGGGTGTACTGAACATGGCAGGAGTCTTGTGATTTCTCCAAGTGGTCCTTATTTTGCCGTGAGTGTATTTCAGTCATTTTTGTATCCGGTTGGTCTAATTTGAATGATGATTTCTGCCGGGCATGGGACTACTTACATCCAGCTTTCTGCTTGGGGTAGTGACTCACTGAGTCAGATTCTCATTCCACAAACTCAGAGCAAATTAGGTACCAATGGGGAGCTACATTAAAGCTTTTGGGATAGGAGAAGTGATTTTATGTACTAAAGGAGTAATTTACCAAATGTTCCTTAGTGATCTGAGAAAAAAATTGCCGAGCTTCTCATAGCGTTTGATTTGTTTCCAGGAAGTTAGTCAAAGGGAGGATCTGAGCTAATATGAATAAATGGACGATATTAGATCTTACCGGTTCTCAAAGCAATGATGTGGCCTAATTCAGTGAGCATGTAAAGAAAATGTGCTCAAAGACACAGACCTGGCTCTCTGAACACTGACATTTGCTCTGTTTTCCTCTATAAGGAAAATAACCTAAGGAGAAATTCTGTTTGTCCCTCATGACTTCTCTTGGGGTTAATTTTTTACTTTACACACCAAATGATAGTGAAAACGTGCACTTTTAATCTCAAAATACCACACACCAGGCCTCTCTTGTCATCGTGTACTCCTGAAGCACATTCGCCATTTTAAACTTAGAAGGTCAGTATTTGTCACATTGAAAGAGGAGTCCTCTAATGGCTTCATCAGCCACCCCTCCCCACCTCATCACAATCACTGACAAATCTTCACACAGTCTACAACCTCAATGGAATCTCTAGTAATCAATTGCTTTACAATAATCTGAACAGAATGGGATCCACCACAAATATCTCTGGTGCTTGCTGTGTGCCAGGCAGTGAGCCAAACAGGGCAGATAAAATGGTGCCTGAAAGCGGCATCATCCTTACATTCATGAAATTTATACTCCAGCTGGAAAGATGGACATAACAAGTCTTCATATAGTAAATGTCTAATCAAAACTCTGACGGTTTTGATCCCACGAGGAAACTGAATCCATTTGGATCAAGGTCTCCACTGACCTTCATATGGCTAAATCCAATGGTCAGTTTTTGGTCAGTCTTACTCAGCTTCTCAAAAGTATTTGATATAGTTGATCACCCCCTCCTTTTATAAACATTTTTTTCAGTTGATTTCCAGTTCCAGTTATACTCTAAAATTTGTACTCTCTAAATTCATTCATGAGTCCCACATTCAGTTACGACCCTGGTCATTTTTCTAAATTTGACACCCGTATGTCTAACTGCCTACTCGGCATTCCTTCTCAGATGCGTAATAGCATCTCAAACTAAACGTGCCCCAAACTGAATCCCCTTTTCTACTCCACGCAAACCTACCTCTTCCCTAGTGCTCACTCTTTGCTAGACAGAACTCATATTCATTCAGTGATTAGGCCACAAATCTTGGAATTTGTCCATAGCTTTCTTTTCTTTCATCCTCCTCATTCAACTTAACAAAAACTCCTGTTGGATTTTCTTTCATCCTATAACACAATTTCACCATCTCCCACTGCCTTCATCACTACTCTCTTACCCCAAGACACCATTTTCTATCATCTGGATCATTCCAGTGAATTTCCACCTGACCTCTTTGATTCCACTCTTGCTCTAGTCTCTGTACAGCAGTCAGAGAGAACCTTGTAAAACATAGGTCTGATTATATCATTTCCTCATTTATATCCTTCCGATGGCTTCCTGTCACACTTGGGGTAAAATCCCTACCATGGCATGTAGGGCTTTACGTGATCTGGTCTTTACCTGCCTCCCTGCTCACCTTCCCTCCTACTCTTCCGGGTATTCTTGAGTTTGCTCTGTACATTCCTACTTTGGGGTCTCGGCATTTGCTTCCGTCTGCCTAGAATGTTGCTCACCTAAACATCATGATGGCTCTTTTCTTTAGTTCAGTTCATGCATGTCTCTGTTCAAATGTCAACTTTCAGAGAGGACTTTCCTTGTTACTAAATTAAACTACTCAAACAGCCCTCCCTCCCCATCTCTTTCTGTCAACCCTCTTGACATACTTTGTTTTCTTTCCAGTTCTTATCACCCCCCTCACTTCATGTGTATGTGCGCACGCACGTGCACATGTATGTGTGTTTGTCGTGTGTGTGTTTATTGTGTGTCTCTGTTAGGATGTAAGACTCAAAAGCACAGGAAGTTTTGTCTCATTCACTTTCGTATCCTCGGTGCCTGGAACGATGAGTGTCTGGCACACTGGAAGGATTCTTCACATCTAGGTTGCATAAATGAGTGTAATGATGGTAAAAAGGCAAATTGCAGGGGATGATAAGGTAGCGTTCTGGACAGAACACAGAGCGAGGCATCAGGGAAGGAGGTGGATGCGCATTCTGGAGAACATTTCTAAATAGAAGAGGCCGCTGTGCTAGTGTGGATATCAGAGTTCTCTGAGAGTCTCAAGACGGTCACACACCCTCCTTCTGAGCTGACCCGCGGTGGGTAAACATAAAAGCTCTATTGAAGAAAAATGTTTTTCATGTATAGTTTGGTTTTACTTTTTCCCAGAGAAATGTGACCAGCAATATCCCATTTATCTGTGTGACAGATCTGGTAGGTAGTCGGACAAGAGAGATGAAAGGAGAGGGAGAGGAAAGCAATAATAGCAGTTTTGTCTCAGTGAAAAAGCAGTGAAACAGAGAGAAGTCTTGTAACATACCCAGCATGATAGCGGCCAACTAGACATGTCATTGATCCTCCTAATTTATTACTGATCTCTGCCTCCAGGCCCTGAGGTAGGGGTGGAGGGGGAGAGTAGCTTCTGCATATCTGTCCGGAGTGGATATGTTTCCTGTCTCCTCAGCCCAGACTACCACCTGCCATTCTCCTCATGACTCCCCCAGGTCTAAAGTGGGGGAAGCAGAAGAGGCTTAAGGAGAGAGAAGGAGCTCTAGACATTATTCATTGAATTGATAAATTAGTTGGTAAGAGAAAAGGGAGCAAGAAAGCAGGTTCTTCTGAGTGAATTCATGTGTACTCACGCCCAGGTACAAGTCCGTGATTTGGGCGTCTGTGAAGGAAAGGAACGCAGTTAATAGCATGAACAGAATTGAAATGTATGGAATTGGGACACAGTCGAATGGAGAATTTACCTAAATTTCTCAGGCTTCTGTGTTTTACTCTTAGTGACCTCTCAACTATCAGATAGTTCATATTTATGTCCAAGTATCTTTTCATAAAGACTATGAAGAAACTGTATTCGTCAGGTACAACTTTACTGACATATCAGATTTGATTGTGTCACTTCTGTTTTCCCACTGCAGTCTGGGCACACGAGAAGGTCAGAAGGACCGTATCAAACAGCATCACTCTGACCTGGCCCGCAGCAGGCCTCCATTCCATCTGTTTGGGGGAGGCCGTCCACAGATGTGATGCCTGTGGCTAGAGCACAACATCTTTCATTCCCCCCCTTTCTGCCTCTGATGTGCACCCTCAGTGGCCCTCTGTGAGCTTTTCTAGCTCAGTGTCCCTGTGACCATGCCCTGTTTCACTCCCAACCCTCCAAACCCTACTCTCCTCTGGACTCCTGCCCCCAATTTCTGAGGCACAGAATGTTCTGCTCTTTCTTTTCTGCAGCCTGCCAGTGTAGCGGGAGGCCGACTCACAGGGCTTGGCCATCCCATTTATGTCATAACCCGCCACAGCCCAAAGACCCGGATGCCGTGTCTGAGAAGGTCACTCTGCCTCGCTTCCTACTCCTCAGGAAGGATGACGGGTTATGGAAGATAATGGTAAGTGGCTCCTGGAAAGCCTCCTGTCCATTTGTGCCTCTCACTCTACAGCCTGAAAGGCAGCATCCTTGCTTGTCCATCTTTCCTTGCATCCAGAGAGGCCCTGCGACCCGGTTCTGGCCCATGGGGCACACCTGGGGCTGCTGGTCAAGGGAGAGGGGTTGCTGAGAGAGATTCTGCTTTCCTGAAAGAAAGAAAACAGACGAGACCAGCATTGTCTCTCCCTTTCTTTCTCTCTCGAGTGTAGAATTGATGGCTAGACCTCCAGTGTCATCATGTAACCAGGAGAGAAAGGTCAAAAGAATCAAATACATCAACCTGACATCACCAACTTAGAGAACCAAGGCCAGCACTTCTTGTTAAATGAGAAAAATAAGCTTCTGTCTTTCAAGTGGCTGTAGGTGGTTTTCCTGTTGTTTACGGGTGAACGTAAGTACATGGGTGCTGCCTCACCACATCACAGCCCCCTTTACAGGGTTTGTAAGCAGAAGCTTAGGGCCTCTTGGTCACCATGAAAGAGCTAAGATGTTTTATTTTTTAACATAGGCTAATTGGAGGCTAGAGCTGAATTATTCAAGAAAAGGGAGGTATCTAATATAGGGAAAGATAAAGAGTCCCAAGATTGGGAAGAATGGGAAACCATTAGATACTACAAAGAATGGGGCCTCGAGTGGCTCCCACTCCTCCCAGTCCCTCAGAGGGGCAGGACCTCAGTGGGGTGTTACCTGTGTTACCAAGTGCCACAGTCCTGAGAGTGAAGATAGGATCGTCTGTAGCTAAGTCTGTGGTTAATAAAGAAGTTCATCAGAAAGATATCTGTCTACCCATTGAATGCTTGGAGACAACTGAGGAGCAACTGAAAATGGCGTTATGTAGTAGTAGAAGGAGTAAGTGTAGCTCTGGCAACTGTGTAGACTAAGGGCCAGGCCTCCTATTGACCTACAGGTTCTTACATTTTTGTGCGATCTGATTGTCGGTGGAGAAGTGATGGGAATCATGCCTATCATTGGACTTTCCATCTGCCCTCATACATACAGACGGGATTAAGCTAGACTTCATTTTTTTTAACCTATGTCTTTATGTTTAAGTTTCTTGTAGATAGTATATTCGTGGTATTCTTGGGTATTGTTTTTTTGTCTAATCTTTTCATTTTATCCAAGTAATTTTTGTGATTTTAGTAAGTGTGTTTAGGCCATTTGCATTTAATGTAATTATGATATGGGAATTAAAATTTGCCATTTGTAGTTGTTTTGTTCATTCCATTTTTGTTCATTCCATCTCTTTTTGCCTTCTTTTGGATTCCTTGAGTGTTGCATTTTGCGGGGGGGCTTCATTTTAAAACTACTACAGACTTACTAGTTTTTACCTCCTCTTCAAAAAAGTTAGTGCTTACTCTAGGATTTAAATATGTATGTCTAAGTCATAAGTGGCCACCTTCAAATAATATTATAGGACTTCATATATTGTATAAGGGCCTTACAACAGTGTATTTCCAATTCTACTCTTCCATCCTTTGGGCTACAGTTAGCATACGTTGAACTTCCACATATGTTGCAAAAACAAAATATGTTGATACAACTGATCTTTGTTTTAGATAATCAGTTATCTTTTAGAGAAGTTAAGATAAGAAAAAAAAAGATTTTTATATTTACCTTCACGTATACCAGAGGTCTTCATTTCTTTGTGCAGATCTGAGTACGAAATAGTATCTTTCTAAAGTCCATAAAAATATTTTCCTAAAATTGTATAAGGAAAACCTTACATGGTCCCAGAGACTGTTTGTCAAGGTCTGAAAAAGACAAGAATTGATATCCAAGTTGCTCCTTTTCAATGTGTGTGTACATGAGACGGCGCACTGCGTAGCTGACCATTTCTCCTCTTCAGAAGAGCTCTTTTGTATGGTCATAGTTGTATATGTCAAAATATCTATATTCAGGCCTTTCTAGAAAGTTCAAACTTTAACTCTTTTGGAATGTCATTACTGTCACAAACTGAGTGTACAAATTACTCGGAACATGTATTTTGACTCTACTGCTTAGATCGCCATTTGTGGCCCATTTACATGTTGATGCCAAATTCCATTAAAATGGCCTATGTGCTAAATTAAAAGTCAGTTAAACAAGGCAGAGTAATTTTAAAGTCCTGAAAGTCCCAAGATCTATTGTTAGACATTTAGCAACTGAGATATTTCAACATTATTCCCAAACTTATAACACTTGTTATGTGAACTGCCTCTAGAAAGCACGATAGGAGGAGAATGCAGCGGTGTCTCTAATGGAGACCCAAAGGTAGGTCCTCGTCAGCCTCATGTTCCCTCATTCTCTGGCAGATAGCAGATTTGCTTCTTTGGAATATATTTGAGAGAGAAAATAGCTCCTTACAGGCCATAATTGTTATGGTAGAGTGTTTACAAATATAGAATTCACATCCCTTTGCATTTATTTGGGTTTTGTGGTTTACTTTTGTGTTGCTTTTGTGTGTCTCCACATAAGTCATGAGTCTTACTTCAAAAGTAATAATATTTGTCAGAAAAGGTATCTATGTATTTTAAAATATCCATGTCCTGAATTAATGGTCTGATGAGCTGTCCAGATTTAAAGTGAATTTTTATTTCTTTGTTTCCGTTTGTTTGGGGATCTGTGTCAGAGAGGCCAGTGTCCTACACAGAGTTCTCAGATGGCCTGTGCTCCAAGTCTTAGCTCCTGAGCCCAGTCTCCAGTCTGATCCAGTCACGACTTCTGACGATGTCTTGCCCAGGCTTCGATCACAGAATACCACCCACTGGGTGGCACATAAAAATTAAGCAGTTATTTCTCACAGTTCAGGAGGCTGGAGGTAGAAGATGGGCGTGCCAGCGTGGCTCTGGAGGGAGTCCTCTTCTGGGTGGCCCACGGCTGCCTTCTCACTGTGTGGCAGGGCCCGGGAGAGGAAGCAGGTTTTCTCGTGAACTCTATGCGGGCACTGCTCCCACTCACAAGGGCTCCACACTTGGGACCTCATCTAATTCCAAGCAGCTCCCAAAGGCCCTACCTCCCAAGACCCTCACAGCAGGAAGCACGTTTTGACACATGATTGGGAGAAGGAAGACACAAACATCCGTCCATAACAACAACAAAAAGTGACTGAGAACCTAACAGGTCAGAGCTCAGGAATCCAGTCACTTGTTTGTGTGTAGAAGGGGAGCAGTGCCGTGACTGCCCAGGTTTGGCCTCCACAAATGTCAGGGTTATCTACCCACTCTAGTCCAGTGCATGGGGAAGCTTCCAGCTGGTTCTTTCCATCCCACCTTGGGAGGGGGATACACCTTCTTTACCATCGAAAAATGCTTTTTTGTTGATTGAAAAGGCACTTCTGTTTCCTATCAGTTTTTATTTCCTTTTGGGGAATGTTCTCAAATGTGGGATAAGCCAAAGGTTGTGGTGATGTGGATATGAAGTAAATGCTCAGTCTCTCCATTCCCTCCCCTCTCCAAGCTGGCAAATGGAGTCTGGGAGACTTCTCGCGTCTCAGCCTCAGGTCCTAGACGTTCACTCCGGGCTGCGTTGGTTGACGCGCCGTGGGAGAGGAATGGCCATCTGTGGGGAGTAGGAAAGAGGAGAAGAAAGTGATGTCTGTTTCTGAACGGGAAGAGGTTGGGAGTTTGTCTGTAGGACTATCTGGAGAGGGAGTGGCTCTGAACTAATGGCCCACGGTTATCCGCTGCCTGGACACTGGCTCTTTTCTTTTCTGAAGGTCCGGAATATCACCAGCCAGGGCCCTCCAGTCTGGCTCACTGTGACTCCGTTATTTCCTGACAGGCTTTTCTTCCTGATTTGATTCGGGTCAAAAACATATGGCACAGACCACACCGGCCCTTAGCTACCTGGCTTCAAGTCACCATCGCTATCTCCTGCCTCCACGGCTCATTGTCAATAAATACATATACAGACCATCTCAATAAACAAACTTGATTTGGATTTTCAACTTCAAAAAATTCATTTTCAAGAGCAGGACTAGGTCAGCCACGCGGAAAGCCCCAGCTGACACGGACACAAATACGGAAAGGAGGAGGATTAGGGTTGGAGTGAAGCAGTTTTTCTGGAGCCAGAATATTCTGGTTGCACACACGTGTGTGGATGAAGGGCACAGTGTCTGGGAAGAGCCTGAGAATATGTTCTGAAGATTTGCGACCTTGGGTGATTGAAAGACAAAAAAGTATCTGGCTAGACCTGGTTTACTGCCATTTATTGGGCAATTGGTCAGTGACACAGAAAAGAGTGTCACGGGGTTAGAGGACACAGAAGAAGCCAGCCTTGCTGAGTCTGTAGACCCCTGCTCATGCAGTCTCCACCCCTATCAACCGTCCCTCCGGCTCTCCCTTCACCTCTGGCCCTGAGTTGACAGCAATGCCGGTTCCACCCACAAGTGTTCAGAATGGGGAGCTCTCCTCCAGATTAACCATGAAAGAGAATGCAAAGCCCCAAGCTCGGTCTACTGAGGTCCCGCACAGACCTGTGATTCCTGCCTCTAACTACCAGTCTCTTGTCCCTCCTCGTTTTCCAGCTCTCTGGGCCTCACATGAGGTCGTTCACCTATAAACCCCATAGAGCTGAACAGACCATTTACCTTGAACTTTGAGAAGAGCTTAGTCCCCAGCTCACAACCACCAGAAATAGCTCTGCCTGCAGATGGCAGGGGTCTCTCTCTCCCCGCAGCAGTGTTCCCGTGGGAAGTGAGAGAAGCGCTCTCATGGCTCATCTCCAATTCTTGGAGTCACAGCCACTTTGTCGTAGCTTCTTACAGCTGCTGCCTGTCCCATACCGATGAGGTCTGTTGTCCTTGGGCTGCAGCCACCTCAGCCGCCGTCGCTCCTGGAGTTATCACAAGGAGAGGCCGTGTCACTCCCTGTCACATCAGCTCCACCGGCTCCACAGTGATGACATCTGCCACCATCCCCTCGCCAGCAACCACCCACCCGGCTCCGGCATGGACTGTGGTTCACCTTAGAGCCTCACCTCCCT